AGTGGAAGTCGCTCTTCAATGAATCTGATCTTGCAATTAGTATGGGTAGTCCTCAATTTACACCAGTTCATTTAGTGACTGCTCAAAGTTACAATGGCACTGAAAAATGTGTTTTAATGGCCATGTTTCATATTTAAAACCTTTGCAGCTTTCCCATAATCATGTGACCAAAATTCAGACGCTTGGCAACTGGTTCGTATTTATGACCTTTGTTGTGTGCCAATGTCATGTGATTCCCCTTTTGCAACCTGACAAAGTCAATGTGGAAGCCAGATTCACTTAGCAACCAGGTTACTAACTTACTGACTGCAGTGATTCACTTAAAATGGCAAGAAAAGTTGTAAAATGGGCAAAACTCCCTTAAATGTCTCACTTAACAACATAAATTTTGGGCTCGTCATAAATTTTTTAAATTTAATTTAATTTTTATTTTTATTAAATTTGTATACCGCCCTTCTCCTGCTGGACTCAGGGCGGTGCACAGCCAAAAATAAAAAACATTCCAATACAAAATTTAAAAATTTTTAAACGAATTACACAACTTTGGCCCAAAATTTAAAACATCCCAACTAAAACCCATAGACAATTAAAAATCTAACATCTCAAAAGGGGGGGTGTTTACGCCAGCCCTGCTTGGTGGAAAAGAAAAGTTTTTAGGGCACGGCGAAAAGCCCGGAGATCTGGTATCATGCGTATCTCCGGGGGCAAATCTTTCCAGAGGGCAGGTGCTGCCACAGAGAAGGCCCTCCCCCTGGGGGTCGCCAGCCGACACTGCCTGGCTGACGGCACCCTGAGGAGTCCCTCTCTGTGGGAGTGTACTGGCCGGTGGGAGGCTATCGGCGGCAGAAGGCGGTCCCGCAAATACCCAGGTCCTATGCAACTACTACTGTATGCCAATGTGTTATAGATTATTTTAGCTCCTCTGGCAGCTATAAATGATTTATTGAAACAAATATCCTTACCTCCTCACATACTAGAGTACAATTTGTTACTCTGCTGTTGGAAACAAAATATGAAAATGGGACTATTTTGCTAAATAGTCATTCTTCCCCAGCATGGTTTCCTTAAAATGAATTGGATGTAAGCTGAATTGTAAAATGTGTAAAAGCAATACTATGTATCATGAGCTATAAATGAAAATGTATTTTCTGATGGGGCACAAATAATTAATTTTCAAAAATAAGTCACAAGTACACATTGCTCTTAACAATACAGGCAGTAGAAAATGGGAAGATCAACAAAATGACAATAATCTATCACAAATATATAAAGTGCAGTATCTGGATGATTACTTGGTCATGTATTTATTGTCATTTGCCCTTTGGACAGCTATACAGTTTGCTTGCTAGAGCTCTGTTTTCTTTCCCTGAGATGTCACAACTCCAAATCTGGTTTGCCCCTCTTTTGTCATGCCTTACATTTCTAAATAAATGTACTGGGTGTAAATATCACACCATTCAAAGTGATTTATGTTCAGATAAGCTTGCAGAGAAGTAGAACGCTTGAATAAAACAGACTTTCTTATTTTGCACTTATATTTTAAACAAATTTCTCTTGACTACATGGACTTATTCCCATATTCTTAAATCTGTGAAAATGTTTTCTTATCAAGTAGAAGCAATTAATTAGGTTGTCCCCTTAAATTGTAGGGACAATTAATACTGTCCCTACAACTTAAGGGACAGTATTTTACAGTGCAATTTTCGTTACACCTGAAGCATTCCTTGAAAGGAAGAAGCATCAGAAAAGAATATTGTACCTTTATGTCTAGGTGCAAACTGAATTCTTAAAAGCCATTTAAGTCTGAGACTTACTGTATGCTGACTCATGTGAAGCCAGCTACAATAGTACTGAAAGGACAGCCTGGATGCTTTAATCCCTGGTTATGTAGAGATGGGAATATGTCACTAGCAGTGGTGGGTTTCAAAATTTTTTACTACCGGTTCTGTGGGTGTGGCTTGGTGGGCGTGGCATGGCATGGCTTGGTGGGCGTGGCTTGGTGGGCATGGCAGGGGAAGGACACTGTAAAATCTCCATTCCCTCCCCAATCCAGGGGAAGGGTACTGCAAAATCCCATTTCCTCCTGAACAGCTGGGACTCGGGAGGCAGAGAATAGATGGGCATGAGGGCAGTCAGAGGTGGTATTTACCGGTTTTCCGAACTACTCAAAATTTCCGCTACCGGTTCTCCAGAACTGGTCAGAAACTGTTGAAACCCCCCTCATTTCTACAATTCACATCAGTGTATCTTCCTCAGAAGATTCCTATTGAATTTTTCTACTATTGTTGTTTTCTTAAGGTGCGGGTACAAAAAATATGTGAATGCCTAGTGGGGAAAGAGAGTTTTATAAAGTAAACTTTAAACATTGAATAAAGCACGATGCAAATTTACTGTTCTTTTCCCAAACAGATAACATAATTTGGCTGAGTAATTCTATTTAGTGAAGCCAGTCAAACCTGGTCTTTTGATCATAGAAAGGCACATCCCATTCTATTTTAATGGTTTTACACAAAATTGATGGCAGTTTGTAAAATAAAAAAAAATCTGTAAAATTGTCCACTAGGTGTCCTCATATACCAGTTTTAAAAAAGGAATAATAAGGCTTGAATGCTTTGTTTCAAGCAATACAGTATTCAGTCTTACATTTAGGACATGTCATTTGTAATTTAATTGGGACATTCCTTTCAGGTAGGGGGCCAGCTATTCTTGATGCAGCTCAGATAAAAGTAAATACTATGTTCTGAGTCTTAATCCACTTAGCAAACAGAAGTGCACACACCACAAAAATGTGTTGGAGAATGGGGAAATGAAATACCTGGCTGAGAATTGACTGATTCTTTCAGCTAGAGATACTGGAACATAGAACAATTTCTCACTTTAGGTCTCTGAAATAAACTGATAATTCTTACCATGTTTATATGATTCACATTAATAGTGGGCATATATAGCAAAGATGGAGCTTATAGTTTGTAAAATATGTTAACAAATATTTTGATCGGTCCCAGATTCTTAAATTACATTTTACAACATTTTAAAATAGTATTTTTCCTTTTCTTCTGATATAAGTTTTGCCATGGATACTATCTTGGATACTTCATTAACAATGTGGTTGGTGTCATGTTCAGGAGATGCTGGCATCTCCTGAACATGGGTGCACTTTCCTCCCCTCTGATCACTGAGGACCTTCCTCTTGGTTCAGCCCACATGTCTCCTCTGTCACTGTGACTCAGTCTACTTTTGCACACATGCTTAATGCTCTTTGAAAAGGTGTTAAGCGTGTTCAGAAATCACCTGACTCTATGTGTCACTTGTCACTCTGGTAACTTGAAAGGTGTCTAAACCCTCCATCCCAGGCACCTGTCCAAGCCTGCCCATTATATATTAAGGAAAGCAATTGATTGTTGTTTTTTGTGCCAGTAAATGACATTTAATAGGAGCGAAATCAAAGCCTGGGGAATCTACCAATGCCCCATATTAAAACTACAAGGGCAACACTTATTACCTAAGGCAGAGTAGAGTCCAAAAATATATATGATATGCTTCTATTTTACCTTACATAATTCTTGCAACAGAAAAAAATACCTATTCTGAGGCTTTCTTATAAGAATGCTTTGTTCAGTCCTGTTAACCATAAAATTTTCAGTATATTATTTCACATCGCAAGAGGGTGTTTGTTTTTAAAATAGTAGGAATTTCTTGTAAATATTATTATCTTTTCAGAAACTCCAAAATCAAAGACAATGTTTCACATTTGTTATATTTTTCTTTTCCATTTTCCTTCTTTCTGTGTATCATGTAATTCTGAATTTATCTGAAAGTATATTTCATTTTAACTGCAATCATACTGTATTATATTATGACAAAAATTGTCCCATGCATTCAGATGGAATAGACAGCTTTTTAAAATAATACCTGAAATTATCTTGCTAACCTTAGAATAGATATGGTTCCTTTTTTGTTAATTTAAGCCCATATGTGAGACATGAATCACCTAAAAAAATCCTTCAAGCTTCCTTCAGGTACTAACTTATCAATTTATAGAAAAATGTTACTTCATGCCTTTTAGAATCAGTTATCAAGTACCACACATTTTTAAAAAACAACAAGAACAAGTTGTTGATTAACCGGCAGGTCCTTGCTGAAAATGGGATAATACAATAATTTAGTCTTATCTAATGTGGAGGAAATCTCCAGTACACTATTACATTACAGTCCTGTATTTCCCAACCGACACAGCCATCATATCTAGAGGAAAGCTGATGAAATAGCTCCTCTTAAGACTCTTCCCTGCACCCTGGGAGTTAGAATTTCCTTGAGTTTCTAGAGCCATCCAACTGTCATTGTGGCAAAATAACTGTAATGTGGATGGGCTTTATATCACTAAGAAGAGCTTGTGTTTATCTGGTCAGATAACAGTAGCTGTGAAAACTCCCTTGGCCTTGTGGCTCTGATAAATAAAGGCTATTCATTTGTGGCGATTATTCATTGCTTTTGTGGTGCTGTATTGCTCACTAGGCAATGTTTGCTTGGGCACGTAAATCTGAGGAATGGGTCTGCTGTCTATTCATCTGGCATTGCCAGTGGAGATTCTCAATTATCCATCATGGTTTTCCCAAAGATGCTATTCAAAAGGCAATTTTCTTGGGGTTTTTTTTCCCCTTGAAAATGTTTCGCTTCACGTCCAAGAAGCTTCTTCAGTTCACTTCTTGGATGAGAAGCGAAACATTTTCAAGGAAGAAAACCAAGAAAGTCCAGTTGCCTTTTGAATAGCACCTTTGGGACATCTGGCATTGCACTTCTTGCTTTCCTCTGCTGTTTTTCAAAGCCTTCAGAAACAGCAACAACTTCCTGGTTACTATCTGACAATAAGCATTTGAGTGTTTGGAAAGGGTGTGAACTGGACTGGAATAGAGTGGAGAAATAAGAGCTGCAGTTATGCTACTGCTGAAATGTTTTCCTGGTTGTCGAAAAGTGGTAAAAAGAATTAAAGCTTTTTTTTTCCCCAGAGAAGTCCAAGGATGGAGGTGGAGGGAAGAAAAGCTCCAATACATTTCCTCCTTCCTGAAGAAATACTCTGCAAGATAAAGGTGAAGAGCCAAATTCTTCTCAGACAGAATCCCAGCAACAAAGTCACAGCTGGAAGGAAGAGAAGGAGGGGTACCAGAGAACGGAAATTAGTTGTTCCACTGGTGGCCTCTTAAAGATATACCAAGAAGCTGCTAAATTATTAGGCCAATATTCTATTACAGAATATTGCAGTTGCTCAGTTCTGAAGAAAATGAATCGGTTGTAATGGAGCATTATCATAATAGTTGGTGGTATATAAAGCCTAAAAAGTAGTATAAAGGAATGCACAACTTTAAGCATATTATTATACCAACTTTACCTATCCTGCTGGTAGTTTTCTCTTTCTGGAAGTGAAAGAAGCCATAACAGGATCATTTGTTGTTAACCTGGTATTAATTAATAGGAAGCCTTCACCGAGGAAGTAGAAGTAGCAGGAATACTGAGAGAAAACGATAATGCATGTTATTAGAATTGTTGATTTTAATAGATTACATGTGAGTATAGTTGAATGTGTGTCTTGGACCTTCAAAAAAGCAAATTTTAGTAAACATTAGTAAAAGTCACATAGCAAAGAAGCTAATAGGGAAGAAAAGCTTAGAAGAGATGGGAATTCCTTAAATAAATCCTCAAAACACAATTTCAATGTGTTACAGTAATGGGAAACAGCAGTGGTGGGTTGCCCCTGGTTCGCACCGGTTCTATAGAACCGGTAGTAAAACCGGCGGGAGGCTCCGGCCACCGACTCCGACATCATCAGAACGCTTATGCACATGCACAGAAGCTTCTGCGCATGCGCAGAAGAGTGCATATGCGTGCTTGATTTGCTCGCACATGTGTGCGGCCCCATTGCAAACCGGTAGTAAAGGTAAGTAGAACCCACTCCTGGGAAACAGCACATATAGAAGTGACCTGTTCTTAGGTCGCTAAGGAAAGAAAAGTATAGAATTGTAATCTTGTTAATCTCAGAATGAGCTGAGATTAACAAAAGACGTTAAGAACAAAAAAGAGTTGTATTTGGGTATGTTCAAATTAAAAGAAAGAAAATGAAAACATATCATACATTTGTTATTTTTTAGTAACAAAAAGAGAATTAATTTAACTCTTATTTTAGCTCAGTCTTCTCAGAGAAAAGGATATGTCTTTAACCAGGCAATTGTAAAAACCAGTATGAAATGGCAAGGTTGAAGCTTGAGACTGATTGAAACATGGTACTGGTAAGAATATACCTTTTTATTGAAACAAAACAAAACCCTACATCTCTAGGAGATAAATTGTAGAATTGTGTTCTACAATCCTGGGGGAAAAAACCTTGCTGGTAAACCGGCAAAACCTGTGTGCATGATCTTTGAGAAATCCTAGTGAACAGGTAAAGTACCAGTTGCTTGGAGGAATGCAATTACTCTTCCAAAGACGAGAAAAAAGAGGACCTAGGGAATGACGGTCAAACTGAAATCAATATCTGAGGAGATTCTAGAACAGATTATAAAATGATTAATAAAATAAAACATTATTTTCAAGCTTAGCGGAATATAATTACATCATTTTCAAAACTTTGAGTCATTGTTAAAATTCAAACAATGCATAAATATCAATAGCAGTATAATTTTCGAATTGCTTCAGTTCATTCACCAGTATATCCTCTTGCTTTTTTTATAGTTGTCTTTGATGCCAGAAAGATAAAGAAACCTCTCATAAAAGCTTTGCTGGAGTCCCATCATTTACATACAAAGACATAAATTGATTTAGAAGAAGCTCTTTCATACTTGTTGGCATTTCAATATGATGCTTGTAATGATTCTTGTAATAATAAAAACATTTTGTTAAGTCTCCACTTCTTCAGGCTGCAAATTCCTCGGTTTAATCTTAGAATTATGAATTATGATCTATATATTAGGTACAATTTCTACATTATGAGATTGGTTAGCAATTATAAATCTAGCATGTATTCACAATAGGTTTTATGAGCTGAAGAATAATACTGTAAGTATATATTTGTATCTCCACATTGAAAAGAAATAGTAATGACATGTAGTCTTAAGATAATTCAAGAATATTTATACAGTTTCTTCTAGATAAAATGGATTCGTCTGTTTAAAGGGTGGGGGGATCATATCTTCAAGTAGTAGAATACCTTCTTCTACAATTTCAAGAAGCAATTGAAACAATCTTACTTGGAAATTTATTCTGTTGTCATTTGGTCCATAAATTGAAGCAATTGTTATTTTCCAAAAATTATATTTGAAAATACAGTATTATAAATCTCCCTCATCGTCTTGGATTTCTTTTCCCAGATTCTGTATAATTTTGTTCACATATATAGCTACTTAATTTTCTTCCCTATTTGTCTGAGGCCATAACTTTTGGCATTACATTTGCCTAAGGCCACAAGATACTAACATTCAATAGATTTATATTATTGCTTTTAAAATATGTCACTTGAAGACACATAATGTACTGTGTTTTTTTAACCCATCAATATCAGTTGAGAATGTATTAATTTGGTCCATTGTATCAGTTCTCAAATTAATTTAGGTGTCACAGTCGCTTCTCCTAACTCCTACTCCTAACCCCTAATTCAGAAGGTATCAAAAGCTGCTGAAAATCAAGAAAAGCCAGGATGGAGGCAACACCTATTCCAATCCCACTAGAGATCATCTAACATATGATCAGTGCCATCACACTACAATACTTTGTGCCAATCTGAAACTTGACTGAAAAGATCTAGGACTAGGTAGTCCTTTCTTCCAGGGCCTTCTGAAATGGCAAACTGACCATGTTTGAGGAGGGACAGACAGTTCTGGTCTAGTGGTAAGGCATGAAGCTAGAAAGTGGGGGACCATGAGTTCAAGTTCTGCATTAGCCATGAAAGCTGGCTGGGTGATTTTGAGCAGATCATTCTCGTTCAGCCCAACCCACCTCACGTGGTTGTTGTTTTGGGAAGGTGGAGGGGTGTGTGTGGGATATTTCACAGTCTTGAGTTATTTGTAAAAATAATAAACGCAGGATCCTTCTGCCACAGTAAGTAGGAAAAATGAGTTTTTCATTCTTTCAAAGTAAATAAATTGGATTTTATATAGATCCAGAACCTATTCCCACTGAACCTAGAGAACATGGATTCAGATTAGATTTTTTTAAAAAGTTTGATGGCTTTCCAGATCCAAAAAAAGGGGCACTACAGTAATTATTATTAACAATTCAACTTGATGAGTGGCCCTAGTTTTAGCAGGAATAATTTTGTAAAGCACATGGAAGAGAACAGAATGCCATAGGGAGTTATTTTAAATAGTTGGGTTGAAAAATTTGTTGGTCAGCACGATTTTTAAAAAATTCTCTACAGTACTATGACTTCTAGAAATGCTTTTCTCAACTGCTTCTGCTCTATAAGTAAATCAAAGGAACATATAATTAATATTTACAAAAGATGCCCTACAAGATAATGGAAACTAAATTGATTTATTCAACTGGCTTGGTTTAACTGCATAGTCTGCTTTACCAAATATGGGTTTTTAAATGTGTTTTTGAAAGCATTCTTATTCAGAGAGGAAAACAAATCATTTCAATGCAATTCATCAGTTCTTATGGTAAAGTAGCATCTTGTTACTGCCATGGACAGTTTAAAGGAGAATATGAATAATTTTTTGCACTGCTTTAGAGAGCCAAGGAAGTCATGTCTGAGGAATATCTCTTAGAAAGTACTGCTGCTTTTTATTTCAGTAGGGAGCTGAAACTGCATACAGTAGGATCAGCAATGTGTCTTAGTGAATATGTGCGTGCATGAATGAATGTGTGCATTCATGCATATATCAGTATACATATATGTTTCAGGACAATGTGTACATCAGTATAAAGACTATGGAAGATTTGATTGATTTGTCCAGAGTTACTGCATTGTCTAAGAAGAAAACATTTTTGGAAACTTATTGAGCAAAACTTGATGTAATAGTTTGTCATTTGTGAAACTGCTACAGTCAGATCAAGACAGTATAACAAGCTTCCAAAGTTCACATTTTAGGGACTTTTCTGGCTGATACAAATTTGCTTTGATCTGATTCTGAGCATAAAAAAATAGTCTCAGTCATTTGATCTTCACAACTAATTGCTTTCTTTCTTTCTTTCTGCAAAATGAAATTAGGGCTGCAAGATTTAATCAAGATAATTAGAAGATTCATCAACCAAAACATATAATTACAGATTAAAACTTTTCCCTAGATAATTAACTGGGCTAGGATCGATGAACACACAGTGGTACAGCTTGAGTTCAAACAAGGCTTTCAAATCGGTGCTTTTTCACATTATTGATGGGCTCTGGGATGTGAATGAGCAAGATCCTTTGCTCCAGCTTAAAATGCTCACCACAGCCCTCTTGATCTGCTAGTACTCACGGAAGATCATCAGTTTCCACTATTTCATTGGTAGGGTGCTTCCCTGTTTTGGAATTACTGCTACCAGAACCACAGATTTGTAATTCCATATCAAGTATATATATATATATATACATATATATTAAAAAAAAGCCAACCCAGTTTGAAAACTGGCCTTACTGGAATCCATCAAGTTCTTCTAGAAAGCTTCTTTAATATTTAAGCTACATTTAGATCAGGGAAAGTCTTTTTGATTTGCATCATAATGATGCAAGCAGTTGACAAATCTGGCCACGGATTTTGTTTTTCAAGCAGTCTTCAGAGAGTCCCAAAGAACATAGCATTAATCATAGAACTTCCTCGACAGTGATACAGTTAAAAGTTTTGGCCTGCCTTTTTTTTTTTCTTTGAAAACTGGAGTTTTTAAAAAGTAATTAATTACCTGATAATGCTTTACAGATTCCTAATGCTTACAGACTTCAACCGATAGTTAGAACTGCAGAAAAAAACAATTGCAATTAGCCCATCTTCCATAGAAGACCTGCATATTGCATGGGTCAGAAGGAGGGCTGAGAAAGTTACTACAGACCCTCATATCTTGGAAGTAAACTGTTTCAACTCCTCCCCTCAGGATGCCTCTATAGGGCATTACATGCCAAAACAACTAGACACAGGGATAGTTTTTTACCTTCATGCCATCACTCTGCTGAACCCCTAATCCTCACAGTACTGTTTTGTGTCTAAGGATGTTGATCCATATTGTATGGCTGTAGAATTATTATTATCTTTCTCATCTTCTCTACTACCCACTCTTATTGGTATCATTATTATGATTATTATTATTCTGTTGCTTTGCATGTATACTGAGAGCTCCTGCACCAGACAGAAATTCCTTGTGTGTCTAATCATACTTGGCCAAATATTCTGTTCTGTTCTGTTCTGTTCTGTTCTGTTCTGTTCTGTTCTGTTCTTGTTCTACTCTTCTGTTCTGTTCTGTTCTACTTACTCTACTCTACTCTACTCTACTCTACTCTACTCTACTCTACTCTAGGCACTTCTATACAGCCTAGATGACGTATGCTCCCTTCTTCACCCTTAAAGAATCAGTGATAGAGCACAAAAACCAGCACTCCAGCTAATACTTTGTGTGTCCCCCCCACCCTTTAACTACCTTGCTGCGTTTTGTGGTTAAGGATAGTGGCAAGAGAGGCAATAATTAATTATGGCACCTTGCCTTCCAGGCAAAGGAGGAGAAATTCCCAAGAACCAGAAATTAGAATTTCCCACCAGTCAGCAATTACTGATCCCACAGCTCCAGAGGAAAGTCTGCAAAAGTATCTTCATAGGGTTACCTCTGGAGTAGAAGATGGGCTGATTTAATTTCTGAACCAGATCAGCTTGTAAGGACTGACAGAAAATCCATGGTTTCATGCAGACATAGAGATGAAATGTCAATTTCAAACTGATGCAACTCTTGCAAATGGAAGTGACTAGGACTGGTCTAGAATAGCAGGAAGCTTCCAGACTCACTAAGGGTGGTGGATTCTGAGATATTTACTATTGGGATCAAAGTATCCGGAATTGACTCTTTAACTTTTAAAATGTTTGATAAACTTTCTAACTGCCTGATGTTCTTGTCCTTTTGTTTATTTAGGCACTTAATTCCACATCATATGATACCACTGAAGAAACAATTTTATCCAAAAGTATCTGAAGAAAAGGAAAGGATCTTCTGTGTTCTGAAGAACAGATAGATCTTTCTGCTAAAAACATTTGTTTAATTTGTTCTGTCCAGATAGATGATAGACAGACAGACAGACAGACAGACAGACAGACAGACATATATAGATCATACATGCATGCGATCATATATAGGCACAGACACTTACATATGTGTATAATTTAGGATCTTTCATATACATGGCTTAAAACAGGACTTGCAATTGGGGAAATCTCTATTGAGCAGGGTGCTCATTTGCATTATAAATGCAAATGACTGAGAGTCTCCAGGGCAATTTAAACCTCACGTATAAACATGCAGTTTGGGTTAACATAAAATTACAAGATTTTCATTATTTGGTTGAAACCAAGGACACTTTAGTCTGGGAACTCCCTTTGTAATCCCCCCACTCTTCGTATGACGTTATGATGGTTTCACAATGAAACAATGTGTGAGAACAAGTTTCCGAGTGCCAACTGCACCACTTTCCCATCTCCCAACATGCACTCTAATCTTTTTTATCTCGGCTATCACCTTTGAGGGTGATTACACTTTACCCATAAAATTGTAAGTTCAAGGTTTTCAAAACATTGGAAATTTTCAGTTCTTCTCTCCAAAGTGGTATGTAAGAGAGGCAGGGCTCAGAATCTATCAACATGATGCAGTTTTCTCCCATTGCTGGATTATTTGTTTACTGAATTTAAAACGTTTATACCCTGCCTGCCTATCCTCTGTAGACTTTTAGGCGGC